CTTTTTTAACATTTTATTAGGGGCTCATACAACTGTTATCCCAATCCATACACACATCAATTGTGTAAAGCGCATTTGTACATCGTTTCTCAAGTATCTGCTGACTTTTTTGAGTGTCCCCCAACCAGATCTGGTGGGATGCCAAGCACTGTCCCTGAGTCCCAAGTCCATTTTCAGGTTCCTTGGGGACTTCTATTTTCTTCTTGTTTTATTTAGAAGATAAACTCTAGCTGTAGAAAATATAGGCTGTTGCATTTGACCCTATGATGGATTTCATAGCTTGTCTTTGCTTAACACTTTAATCGTTTGGGTTCTCTCTTCAGGATTCTGTGAAAGGGTAGAATTGGAACAGCCAAGGCTTTGTACACATTGCTTTGGTGGATGTGGATGTTGTGGTTTCCCACTTCCTGGGGTGCTTTGGATCTACAAAGTATGTAATATTGTGTGAGCTCATCATTATATAAGTCAGTGGCTATGCACAATCAGTATATCTATGCTGAATGAATGACTTAGTTAAGCTTTCTTGGCCAAGAATAGATCAGATAATTGAGTTCTGATTTGCTAGCCATATTATTAAATTACTACATTTTATCTTATACTTCTTTATAGCATAGAATACAGAATCTCATTTGAATTTTGCTTATATCTAGTAATCATGTTTCAAATTTAAATATATCCAAGTTTGAATAAAGAAAAAGCCTTGCAAAAGGGTTCTATATAATTTTAAAGGCAGTATCGTATTCATACTATAATTTCTCAGAAACCCTCAGGGGCAGTTCTACCCTGTCTTATAGGTGCACTGTCGGTAGGTTTTTGGTATAATTGCCAAGTACCAGTGAGTTACACATTGGGCTGCAAAATACAAGGCCAGCAGTTTGAGACCACCAGCTGCTGTACAGGAGCAAGATGAGGTTTTCCGCTCTCATGAAAGGTTGCAGTCTAGGAAAGCCACGAGGGCAATTCTAGTCTGTCCTAGAAGGTCATTATGAGTCAGAATTGACTCCATGGCAGTGAGTTTGGGTTTTTTTGGTCTTATAATTGTCCCTTCCCTATATTTAAAATGGACTGTCCTAAATAAAATATACTAAATTTAAAACTAAGCTTAATATTTCAGTATAGCTGAACTCTTAAATAGGTATTGTTTCTCAATTTGTTAACTTGAAAATCAACAA